GCCCAGCTTTTTGGAAGGTAGATGGCAGTTTTGCTTTTTATAAAAACGATTCAGAAAAAATTTAAAGAAAGAAAATAGATGAGTGCTGCCATCTACCTTCTAAAAAGCTCGGCTATATTGATTTTATCGACAAATTTTTTCTCATGCATTTTAGGTTATGTTTATAAGCTGTCACTTTTTAATTATCGAATTGCACATTGTCTTTGATTTTCTGTTATTTTCATATTCAAATTAAATAGTGCAATGGTCTCCGCAATTGTACTATTACCAAAATATCTGAAAAAAATTCGTTCAATTTTGAGTCGATTTAATTCGGCCATGATTGATATAAATTGATTAAATTTTTTGCATCAAAAAATGAGACCGTTTCGTGTATCATTTCTAAAAATGATACACAAAACGATCTCTTTTTGATATAACTTATGTGCATCAAAACGTTGCAAAGATTTGATGCAATTTTTGGTCTCAATTTGAGACTTTTAGGAAAACTGTGTACATGAATGCAACACTTATGTATATATTTTGATTTTTTTTGAATATGATCAGTGACTGAACTTAATCAAGTGGTGCCACGACAAATTTCTACTAGGGATATTGAAAAGGGAACAATTTTGTATAAAAACATATAAGATTTGCATTTTTAAAAAGAATATTTATATGAAATTTTAGATATGGAAATACTATTTTCAATTTAAGAATTTTCATTTCAACTGCGAGTGTAGATTTAAATATTTTTCAAAGTCTGTTATTTCATGTCAACCCTTAAATAAACAGTACAACTTAATTAATGATTTTAATTTTATACTTTTACTGCAGTATATATATATGTGGGCAATAAAAAGTCTGTTAAATATTTTATCTTGAAAAGCCGCAGAGTTTAATTAGAAAAGCTCTTGAAAAACGCGAACAGAGCGAAAATCTCCTTTCCAAAAAATGGATTTTCTATTTAAAACATATATTGTAGATACATTAAAACGGATTATTTTTGTTTCAATAACATATGTATGTTTAAAAAATAAATTAAAAAAATATATTTGAATAGTTTAGTAAATTAATTAACTATTATAAATTGAATAAATACAATACTAATGCAAAATTTACTGCAAAATAAGTATATATATATATGACGAGTGAATTGGGAACTGAACTAGAAATTTAAAAAAAAAACATACAAATTCGCGCATATAAAGTTTGTTACAGAGCTTATAACTATATAAAGTTAACTATGACAATATTAATGAATCACTAATTACTGCAGAAACACCTGAGTTGTTCAAAATAAGCAGTCCTTGGATTTAGCTGTAAGCTTAATTTATGATATTAATTGAGTACCGTGAGAGTCAATTAGTGTAGCATAATCTCACCGGCGTATAATGCTAATCTACTCATTTCTAACCATTAAATTTTCAGCCAGATATAAAGTTAGTCGGAGGCGTGGGAATTGTGCGCGCGAAAGATGAAGATCTTTCCATTACAGTGTTTCTTATACGAAAACGGGAGACGTACAGCATAATGATAGTTTAAGAAGAAAAAGGGAGAGAGAGAGAAACTTAAAAGACCCTCCCCCCGAGCCTCCGTCACCCTTCTGTGGACAACATTGGAAAGACTCGGAGACGTGCCAACGAGACTCTTGGATGTGGGTCGATTCTCGGACACGAGCAATTTCCACATTCTACTATAGTTTGACTTCTATGTAGCTCTACCGCAAGCTACCTTCATATTATGGAGTTAGAATCGATGAATCGTGCTTCGAGGACCTTCATTTCGGAATGATGTATGAGCCTTTTTCGTATAAAGTTTCAGTCGCAACTTACTTAGACCTCTAAACACCTTAAGTGGTCCACTTTATATTCATATCCAAGGGATCATTCGTAAATAGAGATTTTCAGATATTAATTAGAATGTTCAAATATAAAATTTATTGCAATATTTAACTATATGTTATACGTCTTAATAAAAAAAAGGTTTAGCAACTGCAGCAACTCAATAAAAAGAAAGATCTAAAATTAAAACAAAAAATTGAACAAAATAAACGCGAAATAACTGAATTAATAATTAAATTAAATGACAGAGTAGACACAAGTATAAATATAAATAAAAGAGTTTGCGAAAATTTTAGACTTAACGTCAACAAAACTATAAATAAAGTAGCGGAAACAATAGATGATATAGGGTCAGCCGGGGTAAATCCGAACGCTAATTATTTCAGCTTAATTAAAATTTTAAAAAATAAGTTAGACATATGAGAATTTTTACCTCAGATCCTCTTCAAGAGATTCTAAGTATTATCACAGAAAAAAACTGAGTTCAAAAATGAACCTCGAGAAACTCATTTTGAACTTCAGGCAAAAAGCATCAAAATGAGCTAGATCCGATTCATTTTGAGTTCAAGTTAAAATGACAATTATAGTCAATTAAGAAGCACTTTATCATAAAACCATTAATCAGAATCATTGTTTTCAATGAACAAACAGATTACAGTTGAAAAAACTTTGTTTCTTAAATCCGATTCATTGAATTTATAGAAAACAAAATAAATTATTTTTAAGTTAGAAACTTCTGAATTGACAGAAATAAATACCAACCATGCAACACGAAACATGAAATTTAACGGCGCCACTGTCTAAAAGCCAAAGATAATGGCGCCAAATTTAAACTTGAAACTATAACCAAAAATAAAGTGTTATTCATTATAATAATGTAATGATTGTTATAACATATATTTAAAAAAAATATTTCTACTATTTCAATTTGAATATTGCGCCAGTGTGGCGCTGCATACATAAGTTGCAGTTGTTGTCAACATAATAATCTTAAAATCTTGAATTTCAACAGAAACTAACATAACCTGTCATTTGATCCGGATCCGGTTCATTTTGAGTAACTTGAAGTTAGTTGTTGTTCATTATGATACCGAATTCAGAATGAACTGCAACAAAAATGAACTCAGTTTTTTTCTGTGATCCCATTTTTCGTTTGTTAATTAGCAACAGCATAAACAAAGATAGCGAGTATTGCAAAAAAGATTGAAAATCAAAGATGACACTCTTTCAGTATTTTGTCTCGTATTTGAAGAAAAAGAAGCTAAAAATTCATTTTATTATTTATAATTGTTTTTTATGAATACTAGAACAGAAACTATTTTTGATTTTTGCCTTGTGTAAAATTTTATTAATGATATCAGACCGTTCGTATTTACCCCGGAAAATTGGAAAACCGGGGTAAATCCGAACGGTATTTTCAATAATTTTTTCTTATATCAAAAATTGTTTTTATTTGATTACACTATTATTTTAACATTATAAAAGTACATAGAAAAAAGTTTTTCTTTCTATATGTATCCTCGTTAGTAATTAATAAGCTGAAACTTAATCTCTGTTCTCTCCAAGGAGTGTTCCACTTTTTTTGCCAAATGGTTTGTTGAAAAAAGTTTTTCAGGATCTTAATAAAATTTGGTATTCTAGGGTGTTTGGGGTCGCTGATTACCAATTTGAAGTCAGTTTTTCAAAATTCAAAATGGCGGATCCAATATGGCGGACGAGAATTAAAAAATTCATTGGATTCGCTCGAAAATTGTTACTTGGGGGGTTTCAGGGTCGCTGATTACGAATTTGGAGTTAGCAAATTTGATCATTTTTAAACATAAGTTTTAGAAAAGTCCGCCATTTTGAATTTAAAAAATTTGACTTTTATTTTTGTATTTACATTCAATCACTCCAAAATACTTTCTGTCACAAGTCTTGCAAAAATCCGTTATGATTTGATAAAGTTATTGAAGGTTTTAATTGTGTTGTGCAGTTTAATTTTTAACCTGTTTGATTTTTGTATTTATATATGATGCATTATTACATAATAGGTTTATTATCGTATTTTTTTTGAGTTTTTATATAAGTTTAATATATATATAAATTAAAAAAATACCATTTTTTATTTTCGAAATATTAATTAATTTAATAAATAATTTGAATAAATTAATACTTTTAGTTAACTAATATTAATAAACAATGAAATATTTTACAAACAAATAAAGTTAGTGTGATTTCGAGCTTATCAATCGAAACCTTAAATGTAATTCCGCATTCAACATGCCCTATATGAAATTTTTAATAATTAAGTTAACTGAATATATTTTGTCTGACTTTAAATTTATTTTACTACTGACTTTCGTATTATAAGAATTTGTCTGACTAAAAATGTTCTCTACTACTGTTACGTGAATTAGAAGAACATAATATGTTTTGTCCGACTGTAAAATAATATTATAACTTCTGATTATTATCAATTTATAAGAACTTAAAATTAAAAAAGAATTGAATTAATAAAAAATAATGATTTGCGTGATAGATATTGCAAGAGGACTAAAAAATATAAAACAGTTATAAATAATAACATATTAAATTCTACAATAAAAATAGTGTTAGTGGAACACGTTTTTTGCATATCTAGCAAATCTTATCGAAAATTGGATATAGTGCAATATTTGTCATTTTTGGCTTCATGACAATTGTACTAAATTTGATAAAAATGTTCGCAAATTGTGATCGGAAGAGAAAATTTCTATAATTTCTTTTTCAAATTAATAACTGAGATAAAGCGAAAAACCAAGGGTAATTTTAAGGATTGGACATCTCTGTATATTCCGTGATAAATAGCTAAACGCGTTTTTCAAAAAGACTAATTTTACGATTTTTTAAATTATAATATTTTATTTATATTATAGTTTTTTTGATAGTTAAGACTTAAATTTTTAATCATCAATATTAATACAAGAATTGCGTTCGCTTCGCATTTTTATGGATTTTAAAAAATCTAAGCAATCTCTTATCGTTTTACCCAGCATAACTTCTTCTATAATATTATTCTTACATTAGATATATATATATATATATATATATATATATACTATAGGGGCTACGCCCCCCTGCGCGCTTCGCGCGCCAACCCCCCTGTTTTAATCATTTTTTTTAAATTTTCCATTGATCTTATTTTTCCAAATGAACCACCTATTTCCACGAAGTAGTATAAGGAGACGTAACGCCATGCATTCAAAGCAACCCCAAATGCGTGTCCTAGAGTTACTAAGGTTTTCGAATAATGCTCTTGTAGCGCCTCTACTGAGATAAATCGGAATCAAAATATGTCGTCTGCTATCGCGTAAACAACTGTAGTTGACAGCAAAAGTGTTTTGATCACGAAGTGGTTTTGATAAAATATTGTGTAATAAATAAATAATAAAATAAATATTGTGAAATATTAAATATTAGTGAAAGTAAATGAAAGGTACGTTTTTCATTAAGAATTTAATAAATAACTTATGTTTTGAAGATTAAAATTACAACATTTATCATAAATATTACTTTATTTTAGGTTATTCATTAAATATTTGGAGAATAAAATAATAAATATAGAATGTAGTTGCTGAAGCCAAATGTGGATTTTACAACATTCAATTTTACAACTTGCAAAACCAATTTAAGTACGATAGAATTGCCATCAGAAAAGTGGTGCTACATTAAAGGAAATGAATCTTTCCTTGCTTTTTTGAAATTAGAGAATGATGATAACGCGAGTGTAATAAAAAGAGTTGTTTTGTATAGCGATTTAAGTATTAAAATTATTATAAATAAAAAAATTCATCCTTTTTCAAGGTTTGTGAGAATCGAATCTGTGGATGACTTAATTTCATTATTAAAAGCTGTTGACGAATTAGAATAATCAAATAAATGTTAAAGATTAACGTTTTTTATATAACAAATGTACTTATAATACTTGTATACTATAATAGGAAAGCATTAAAAAATAAAAAACACTTCGGAAATAATTAAAACTCTAATGGTATAATATTAACAATAATAAATAATAAAAATTAAATACTGTTCGAGCCGAAAAAAAACTTCGATTTTCTCCATTTTTTTCTTCTTTTGTAGTTATTTTTGATCCACATCCTTTTATAAAACATGACATTTCACTGATAACATTAACAAAGCACAAAGTGCAAGCGCGAAACACCGGTTCAAGACAATTTGTCAGCACATGCGAGCACGTGATAAATTTTAATTCTCTATTTCTCCACGCGCGGCGTCCTCATCGCATTATTAGAAAAATGCGTAAACTCTAGGACACGATTTTGGGGCTCACTTTCACCACAATCTACTATGGGCGTTACGTCTCCTTATACTACTTCGTGCCTATTTCAAAGAATTATTATTACAGAGAGAGATGAGGGAAGGGGGAAGGACTTACTGCTTTATTAGGGCCTTAAAACAAACAAAGGTCATTTCTGGCGCGGGAGGGGAGGGTACTTGCGGCTATATTCAGAGCCTTGAAACGAACATAACCTCAAAATTTAGGTCATTTCTGGCGGGGGAGGGGAGGGGACTTGCGGCTATATTCAGAGCCTTGAAACGAACATAACCTCAAAATTTAGGTCATTTCTGGCGCGGGAGGGGAGGGGACTTGCGGCTATATTCAGAGCCTTGAAACGAACATAACCTCAAAATTTAGGTCATTTCTGGCGCGGGAGGGGAGGGGACTTGCGGCTATACTCAGAGCCTTGAAACGAACATAACCTCAAAATTTAGGAGGGGGGACTCCCCCCCCTCCTAGGTCAAGAATTCTTGAAACAGCGGCGGCGGAGGCGATATCTTTTTGTAATATAGGAAGATATATATACATGATAAATATCTTGAAAAAAATGTTTGAGTACAAGTAGATATAAACTCTGCGTTTTATGCATTATTACAATGGAAAAAAATAGAATATGAAAAAAGTATATATATATAAGATGCAAAAGATCACCTTAAATAAAAGCGAACCACTTCTTTTAACAAACGAAAGAAATACAAATGTAATTTTCTGCGGTATCTTCAAATAAGACATTAACCTCAGAACCAGACGAAGCGAAAACATCTTGGGGGGGTTTTCCGCGTGGAAACATTAAAACTCTTGAAATGCCCTCCGTGAATAATAATTCAGAATATTCTAATTTCCTGACCAGTCACTGTGTAAACGCTTCGAACCATCTGGGCAAAAATTATTTACATAGAGAACTCTTAAAGAATTCATTACAGAATGATATACCTGTATACATACAGAATAACATTTCAAATTCTCTTGCGATTTTTTTCATTATACCTTAATTATGCAACATATTCACAGTAGAATGTATATTTAATCACAACTTATAATAACAAAAGTATCTTCTGATTGTTAAAATAGATACTCTCACTTTAATTTCAATATTTTGAGAGATTTTTTGTTTCAAATATTATTTTTTATATCAAAGTATAATATATGGTGCGGTTTTCAACAATCCGCAATATCTGTAATGTATTTAGACACGTCATTCCGAGAGCGGAATGTTTCAGTTCTTGTCTAGCGATGGCGCGCCATTTTTGTTTAAAAACACTTATAAGTTTTGTGTCTCAACATGCCATTGCTGCATTAAAGTGTATTTGCTACAAAGTGCAAATAAGGAGACTTCACATTAATGCTAAGATTGTCCCCATTCGCAATAACAGAATTCTGAAAAATTTGAATAGACATTTTCTGAATTAAGAAATAACTTAAGACTATGTCTCATTGCCTTATGATAAGTGTTGCTTTACAAGAGGAAATGATCCTTTTTTTTTGTTTTCAAAAAGTTGAAAATAATTTTGACATCAGTAAAAAGATAGTAGTATTTCATAATATGGATCATATTTCCACTGATGATAAAATAATTAATTTCTCATCATTACATATTAAATTCTCAACAATTAAAGAATTTAGTGAACATTTGAAAACTATTTATATGTCACGTCACAGTAACATTTTTTTATAATATTTATGTAAAATTAATTTTCTTTAAATACATTTGTAAATAAATAATTGTTTTTAAATAAACAAATGTTTGTAAACAAATATTTGTAAATAAACAATTATTTATAAATAATTTATGAATAAGTGATTATTTATGAGTAAACATATATTTATATTTGAGAGTAAATCAATTGTTTATAAATATTAAATGTATAATTAAATAATAATGTTAAAATATATTAAAAATGATCAATATATAAAAATTATAATATTTCTTGAAGATGTGGTGTTCTTGACATTTTGTGTTATGAAAATAAGGAAATCAACATACGGAGTCACCAACACATAGAAAAATAGCAATAAACACTTTTCATGTCTGTGAGTTACCGATCTTGAATCTAACCCAAAGAGGTGAGCTGGTACCGCCACGAGAAATACATTGGAAAATATACCTATATGTATAAAGGGAGACCTTTCACTACGAAGGCAGTCCTAAATTATACACACAGAGTTCGTCATAGCAAGTGTTAGATACAGTTTCCAAAATTATCATAGTTCTCAGTGGTTACGTGCAGTAATAAAAATCTTAACGACCAAGAAGATCCAATCTTAGGAGGTCAATACAACAGGTGCTAATTGAAGACACCTCAATATAACATCCTAAAGGTAACTATACCAAATGTTAAAACAAGGATTTATTTGATTGTATAACACTAATTGTTGAGAACATTCTACATTTTTTTAAATAAATAATTTTTATATTATATTTTTTAAATCATTCATTTAATAAACCTCTTCCCAACTTAGTTAATTTAACTAAGTTAAATTGAGGAAATTAGAATAGGGAACAATTATAAGTTCAGCTTAGTTAAAATTAAAATTTATTTAAAATATGACATAACATATATACTAACTATTTATATTATTTTAGTACTTTCTTTTTATAGTGAAAATAAGATAAAATTTGATGTCCCTTACTTAAAATGCATAAATTTTTAAATTAATTCTCTAATGATATCAAAAGCAATTTTCAGACAGATTATGAATACCATAGGCTTCAGTAAAAAGACTTAAAGGAGAAAAGCGAAAAGAATTAAAAAATTTAATTAAATTAGTAATAAGAAATTGATACAACAAAAAGTTTATAAAGAAACAGAAAAACGGACAAGTACAAAGATTTAAGCAATATTCAGAGTGAAATCAGGAAAGAATTTAAAGGAATCACGGATCCTAAAGCTGATTAAAAAAATTCTTGATGATGATTACGGTGATTTAAAATTAATATTTTTTCATATATAAATAATAATATAAATAAATAATAAATAATTCGTAAATTCTGGAAAAAATTTTACAAAACTTACGAAGAAAATTTAACAAACGAAATCAAAGAAAAAGAATTTGCATACTTATGAAAATGAAGGAGCTACAATGTTAGAATTCGATAAGTGATTTTAGATAATATTGTGATCAGATATGCTCAATTACGCATGACTTTTGATACCTCACATGAAATTAGATTCATAAAAATTATTATTAAATGTATATAAATAAAATAAAGAAATATACAGTAGAATAAACATAAACACACAGTAATGCAGCACGGTATACTGCAACACAAAACTTGTAAGCAAAGATGCCAACAACCATCGCCAAATGCTTTATATTACGTTCTAACAATTTTGTATTGTTAAAATAGTAAATACATATATTGTGAGATAAAATCAGAAAACCTGAAAAACAGAGATTTTGAAATAAAGTTTTTCTGTATTTTGAGAAATTTTTTGCCAACTTTACAACTTAATAACTTCATCATAAATTAAGCTAAGGTCAATTGAGTGGGAAGAAAATTTTGTTTTTCACAAAATAATAATAATCTTTATTTAAATCAACTTAATTATTTTGCACAATTTTCAAAAACATTTTTCACTGACAATGAATGATAAATTTTAAATTTTAACAGAATTTGAAAGCGGAAAGTTCATGAACGAAATAATGAAACATTTTAATTTGCCGCAATCTTCATTTTATGAAATCATAAAAAGTAAAGATTCTATAAAGTAACAAATGTACTAAAAGACATGGTAGTGTTAAAAGAATCTAAAGATTTTAATAAAATTTATGCGCTTCAGAAGTAAATTGAAATATTAAAACAAACAAAAATCATCGATTTTCTGAAACGTAAATAAAAGTACTTTATCAGTAAAAGTATTTTGCCTTTAAAATAATTTTTTGATCACTTTAAATATAACTATATTTGATTCTAATAAATAGAAATTGATAAAAGAAATCGAATTTTCAGTTACTTTAAAAAAAAGAAATTTCTCCCTCTAAAATCACAAGGTTCTGAATAATCACCCATATTTAATTAAAAAGAGATATTTCAAACAATAGAGTAAAAATCATCTTAATTAAGGACATTATTAACAATTCCTTTAAATTTGTCTATTCAAAAATTTAAATCAAGACAATCACAATTTCTTCACGGGAATGAAATAAACCAATTAGGATTTGCCTCCGATAAAGCTAATTGCTTTTGCTAGTATAGAAATGCTGGTGTGTTTCTAACAAGGTAAATCGAGCGAGATAAATTTAACGCGCTTTAATGTGTGACTAATGCAAGTTTAATGCACATTCCGCAATAAGCGATTGTGTGT